CAAGGAAAAATAAGTCGTTTGCCCTTCCATACTAGTGAAACAAAAACAACAAGGCCAGGTGAACTTATACATGCTGACACATGTGGACCCATGGAGGTGCCTTCTGTGGGAGGTTCCAGATACTTCGTTATTATGAAGGACGACTACTCTAATTATAGATCTGTGTATTTTGTTAAAGGAAAGGATGAAGTAAAGAAGTGTATTGAAAACTTCATAAATAGAGCAGAAAATACTACAAACAATAAAATACACTGTTTTCGAAGTGACAATGGATTGGAATTCGTAAACAAGGGAGTGCAAAACCTATTTACTGAACGGGGTATCATACACCAAACCACAGTGCCATATACTCCCGAACAAAATGGAAAATCAGAACGGGAAAATAGAACGCTGGTCGAGGCTGCAAGAACAATGTTATGTGCAAAAGGTTTGCCAAAGAAGTTATGGGCAGAAGCAGTTCAAACAGCGGCATATGTATTAAACAGGACAAGTAAAAGCAATGAACCTGGGAAAACACCATTCGAGGTATGGACCAACAAATATTTTGATATAAATTATTTAAAAATATTTGGAACCCCTGTTTTTGTCCACATCCCAAAAGAAAAAAGAAGAAAATGGGATGCTAAAGGAGAGAAAGGAATAATGGTGGGTTATGGAGAGGACGTTAAGGGCTATAGAGTATTCTTTGAAAATAAAAACTGTGTGGAAATAAAGAGAGACATAGTCTTCCTGGAACGACCTAAAACTAAGACAGAGCAGTTGGAGGTATTGGAACATGACTCGGATAGACTCAAAGAGACTGATGAGGATCAAGGGTCTAAAGAACAGTTAGTATACTCAAACAAAAGTGTAGAGCAGGTAGAATCCAGTGAGGGTGATCAGCAGTCTACGCAGTTAGAAGAAACTGTGGATATATCTACAGGAAGTGACGGAAGTGAGTATATTCCAAGTTTCAATGATGACAGCTCCGATGATGAAGAAGGTGAAACATCACAATGCCGGAGAAGTACCCGGGTCAGGAAGCAAACCTCATTCTATAAGTGTCATTATGTTTCTACTGAAGATAATGAGCCCAAGACGTATCAAGAGGCCATGCAAAGGCAAGATGCCAGAAAATGGCAAGAAGCCATAGCGAGAGAGCTGCAAACACTGAATGAAAACAAAACCTGGGACTTCTGTGAAAAACCTGTGAGTGAAAAGATTGTAAGTAGTAAGTGGGTATTCAAAGTTAAAAACACAAATGGCAGTACTCAATATAAAGCTAGACTTGTGGCTAGGGGCTTTGAACAAAATGATCTGTTAGATTCCTATGAAGTTTATGCTCCTGTGGCTAATTTGGCTACCTTTAGACTGTTTGTGTCAATTGCAACTAAGCTAAACTTACCCATCTATCAGATGGATGTAACAGGTGCATTTTTATATGGGAATATTGATGAAGTTGTTTATTTACAATTACCTGAGGGCGCCTATAGCGGGCATAACAACACTGTTAAGCTGAATAAGTCATTATATGGTTTAAAGAAATCACCCAAGTACTGGAACGATAAATTTAACTCAGTGGTTATGAGGCAAGGTTTTGTAAGATCCCAAAGTGATACTTGTTTATATTTAAAACATACTAATAGTGGCAATACCTATGCTTTACTGTATGTTGACGACTTATTGATTTTTGGTAACAATGAAAATGAAATTTCTGACTTAAAAACGTTGTTAAACTCTGAATTTAAAATGAAAGACTTGGGATTAATATCATACTTTTTAGGCATACGAGTAGAACAGGATTTAAAAAATAAAGTCACCAAATTGAGTCAAAAACAATATTTAGAATCTTTATTACACAAATTTGAAATGTATAATTGTAAAGGTATGTCTACCCCTATGGACTTTAATTTTAATGTAAAAATATTAGAGGAAAATTGTAACTCTGTAATTGATAAAAATATTGAAAACAAATGTAGAAAAATCATTGGCATGCTGTCCTATGCAGCATTAGGGACGAGACCAGACATCTGTGTAGCAGTGTCCATTCTAAGCAGATACCAAAATAAAGCAAACAACATGTTATTAACGGCTTTGAAAAGAGTTTTAAGATATATTAGGAGTACTATGAATTACTGTCTGATATATAAGTGCAATAATGATATGTTAATTGGTTATTGTGATGCTAACTGGGGGGGAGATTTAAAAAATAGAAAGTCTACAACCGGTTATTGTTTTATGTTTTCAAATTGTTTGATATCATGGTGCTCAAAGAGGCAAGCGAGTGTTAGTCTGTCATCTACGGAGTCGGAGTACATAGCAATCAGTATGGCTGCGGCAGATGCTTGTTGGCTTATAAATTTATTATATGATTTTAAAATAGAGAATCTTTGCCCTGTAGTAATGTTCAGTGATAATCAGAGTGCCATAATGGTTGCTAACACTGACTGTGTTAAGCGTCTTAAACACATAGATATAAGGTTCCATTATATTAAAGAGTTAATTAGACGGGGTAAACTAGTGTTAAAATATATAAAAACTGAAGATCAGATTGCAGATATGTTCACAAAAGCAATAAATAAAAATTTGTTGCATAAATTCATAAATATGTGTAACATGTTAGAAGATTGAATTTGTTTTGTTAGTCTCAGTTTATCTAGATTGGTTTAAAGAGTAGGTGAGTATTATATTGAGGGGGGGTGTTGGTATAAGTCAATATAATACTCTGACAACACTGGTTCTTTTCTTTATAGTAAAAGGTATATAGTCTGTATTGTTCTCTATGATCTGTATCACTGCGCTCTGTACTGAATGTGTAACGTTATAAGTATTATAATAAAACTGCAAGTCTTTTCACAAAACTCGTTTAACTTTAATAATCCTACACTGCACAAATGGCGTAGTGGTTTAAGCGGTCGCCACGCCGCCCCACATGGGACGACACTTTTTGGAATCCACAAATTGATGTTCTGAGTCTGGGTGTCCGTTTCATGTATGTTTGTAAAGTCCCCCGAGACACAGGATATATTCCTAAAGCGGGAGTTGTCTTATTAATTACTGATAATAATGATTTATATGAGGTTGTTTGCTTTCATGTGTTTTCTTAAAATACAAATTTAAGCCAATTAGCGCGGCGCTTGTTATACCTTAGTGTCATTTTACTAGTTCTAAAAAAAAACATTTCACATAATACTTACCTAAAATCGAAAATATTAATAAGACTGCCCCCAAAAGACCACCAATTAAAACAAATCATCATAAATATGTAGATGAATATTAACTATTGATCATTTGACTTTACAAAGAAGTATTTCCGTATCAGGTGGCCATGGTTATAACACAAATTATAGGATATGAAAACCTTCCTGAGTTCGTATCCAAACATTTATTAATGTTTCGATACGATCTTAACCATTTATTTTGAAAGAAGAAGTTTGTATTTTTTGTTAACAGTCTTAAGAGTTCTTGACCGCCGTTTTATAGAAAAAAAACCTGTCGTATGCACCTACAGCATAATCTGTAGATTATGCTGTAGGTGCAAACGACAGGTTTTTTTGCTTTTCTTGCTTGTATCACCAAGTTGGTGAAAAAAATACATTAAAAATCATCAAGTCTTTAATAGTCCTCTGCTTGACATAGACCTCTCCTTAGAAAGAAGGTTTTGGCCTACTATACTAAAACTGGTTGGTATAGAGTTCCTTTTTAAGTTTACCTTCTCTTTGCAGTGCTGTTGTCCTGCGGAGTTTGTTGCCTTAGTCGGCTCTTACGACACCCAAGGGATGAATAGGGGTGGTGACACTCCGTATTTTTAATCCGTCACCACACGGAAAACATTACAAATAAATTACTATAAGTAATTAAGTAGTTACTACAATGTCAACTCATAAATTTATACTATTAACATTTTCCTTTGTTGAAAAAAATACCCTTATTCGTAGCTTATGGTTTTTAGAATATCGAAGATATATTACACTGAAAATTTATTGTTAATTATGTTTGTACTAATAATTATTCTGTGGCTGTAAGTTGAGTACCTGTTTTTATATTTTATCTGGGTTAAAATCTGAATAGATTTAATGGAAGGACTGGATACAATGTAAGTACAATGTACCCGGAACTTCCAGGATTAGAATATTTGCCTAGAACGTTAGTATCTGTTGAAAAGGAAATAAACAAATATCTTTCAAAACTACGAGTAGTGTCTACGATTACTATAAGTATGTTGACAATATACATATTGGACCTTTTTGGTCAATAAATACAAAGACTGATTTTGCAAACGATTCTTAATGAATCTTAGATGTCAAAGCGCAGATTGTCATGCATTTTTGATATAAATTTATTTATTGATATATGTAATACATAATATAAAATCTTACTTTTATATTTAACGTTTAGTTGAAGTAAAATATATTTAATCTTATACTTGTATTGTGAAATATTACTGAAATAATGGCGATGAATAAGTCTGTTGGAAATCCTTTATCAGTCTTAAGTATTTTTGACATTATATTCTGTATTTAATATGCAAGGGCCATGAATATGGGTAATATCTATTTAAGGTTGGCTAATCAGCCGGAACTGCAATTAAAGCAAAGTTATATTCGTTGCTGTGGGGTTGTATAATTCTTCCTAAATTGACAGGCTTTGAATCCTGTTTTATCTGTTGTAGTACTATTACTTACGTTATAAGCATTCATATATAAATATTATAAATAGAATTGTTTAAAATTTTCCGCTAGATGTGAAGGTTCGTGCCGTAGAAACACACACAAAAGGGCAACATAAATAACAGTAAGGCTGGCTTTGGAGAAAACGTTTCTGCATCTTAAGTTTCATAGATTGCGATAAATACTAGAATTGTTTACGAAACGTATCGAAAGTAAAGTATACGTAAACGAAAGTGTATCCCTCCAAATTATTGTAATATTATCTATTTACAGCCGGGGACAAATCGACAAAAGACTGTTCGCACAGCATCATCATTGGCGAAAGCATTCGTACTGTGTACTGAGGGATCGATGGGCGTTCGCCAGAACCCTTGGACTCCAACAAAACGTCGAGGCCCAATTGCCGCAGAGTCATCAAGTCCAGGTCCCGCTGTAGTGTCCCTTCCGTCTCTTATAGGTAATATTTTTTATGTTACTGCGTATACAATTGCTTAATTTAAAGTAACATTAAGACAGAATAAAGTATTAATTGATAAAAACAATCAAAATTATAGTATTAAGAACATAACCCTTCTTTGGCAGTCGGGTGAATAAGTAAAGTAAGTGTTAAAATATTAAAACACAATGTCTGTCTTAGGATTAGTCTAAGTTGCGGCGGCTTGGTTGCAAAACATTAAATACGTCAGTGATAAAAATAGTAAATTCTAGAATGCTGTCATGTAATATTGGCATATTTATCTCGTTAACTGTTGACATGCTATGCCCGTAGTATATAGAATAGATTTTTAAATAGTTTAATCTTTTAAATCCAGGAAGAAATTGTATATAATATCTGTTCGCTATTAACACCTTTAAAATTTGTAGCTATATTTCGATTTATAACTGGCTTGGCTTAGTTGTCCTTCAGTTTAGCTTAGTTTTTGGTCTGAAACCCTTACAACAGTAGAGCTAAGACCTAGATTTTCATTAATGCGCTGTGTGAAACTTATCAAAACCGCGAATAGTTTTAATCCCTTTTAGGGTACTAAATAAATACCTATACCTAGTTTTTACCCGCTTATTTTATTTAACTTTCCTTGGCGACATGTCCATCGAACTGTACTGCTTACAGAACACAGATTTGGCTTTTACTTTATTCGTATGCATGCTACTGAGGTTTATTTCATAGCTGGTTAATTTCGTTTAGTTTCAGCTTAGTTTTTTGGTCTGCAGTCTTTATAGGAAGACTTAGAAATCATGGATGCAAAGAAATTATCAAAGCGCAAAGCATTTTGAGTTTCAACATTTTTTTAAACAAACATAATGTCAAGAATGATGAATACTTGTAAACGTACGTGATAGATATCTTATTTAATATGATTTAGAGCAATTCGAGAAAATGATAACGCCATCACAGGAAAGAAAATCGATTGGATTATTAGGTGCACTTTCTACTAAGCATATCTTTTGGAGACAGATCTATGCCTTTTATGTCGTGGATATTGGTGTGGGTTTGTCTTTAAGTTTGCCATATTAAGCTATTACCTATTCAAAGTTTTGAAATGGGCAAAATGTTTAGATTCACGGTTATCAAGACATAGTAACATCGCTTGCTTTATTTTGTATCCACCACCTATAAGTGATCTCTCCAGCACTAAAAAGGTTTTAAAACAAGTCAGTAACCGGTTATTTAAGTAAGCCGTGTGTTTATTGTCACCTTATTAACATAAACACTTGAATATTCAGTATATCAATCATTAGTAACATAAAGAGATTCAAAAATTTATAAAATCCATGACCCTCATTATACATTACTAATGGCTATAGTAATCTGTGCTCCCGGCCAATCGTACGAACAATTATGATAATTTCAAATGTTTTGACCTTTATCTGATTGAGGACATGGGTATACTTCTTAGAAGATTTAATTACAAGATAAATTAAAAAAAAAAACAATATACCTTTAATAAAAAGTAATTTCAAGTTTTAATAGATTTTAATTTTATTCGTATTAAAATACAATAATACAAGAGAATTTAATGTATTATATATATATTATAACGTCGAATTTTATGAAATAAAGTACATTGGTATACCGCAATTACATGGCAGGATTGTGTGTTACATATTACATACCTAAAATTAATAAATGATGGCAATTTCAATATTTTACAAGCTTTTATTCATTAATGATTATTTTAATAAGGACTTTGTGTATGTGGCCGTGTACCTACACACTACATAATGACATAATTAACATAGGGGCAATTCTTTCGTTCGTTTTATTTTTCGATCGGTATTGTTCGTCCTCTCGCTCGCTAGCGGTTACGTCACCCATCCCACTCCAATGAAGTTATGTTTTGAGCTGTGAGATTAGCACTTGCGCACCGCAGGAACTGGCCTTGCTCGCTCTGTTGATATACAAAGTGACATCATGCTGCTAATATTGCTCGCTAAGTAATACCGCACTCATTACTTTTATACAGAAATATGAAACATAAATACGAGTATAATGAGAAATCTAAAACACGTGTTAGTGTGATGTTTGTTTCCATAATGTTGAGAACTTCAATATAAATATGTTCTATATATTCTTATTTAATCTCCTCGTCACATTTGGTGGTTATTGTTACTAATTCGTAGAACGTGGGTGAAAACATTGACCCTGTTCAAGGTGAGCTCTATCAGCGCAAAAATAGCAAGTATGGTTTGACATTGGCCAAGGATTGTAAGTCTGTGGTTATTACTTTTTTTTACTGTTCACTGCCATGATGGTGCAGTGGTAGTGTATGCGACTGCTGTGCTGAGGTCTCGGGTTCGATTCTCGGATTGGACCAAATGTTTGTATAATCTGCAAATATTTGTTTCGGTATTACAAACGGTGTGTATTTATTCTATCAAAAAAAGTATATAATTATTCTATCAGTCAATTTAGTATTCGTAGTACAAGCTCTGCTTAGTTTGAAACTAGATGGCGTTGTGTGTCAGATGTCCGAAAAATATAAAAAAATATATTATTTATATTGTTTCTATTTTTGTAAAAAGGTAAATTGTCCTACTTTAAGTTTATTGTCTAATGTATTTGGTTTTCTAAAGATTAGGTATTATAGTTGGTAGATAGGTATAGGAGTACTTATCTATTATTACTTACTTGCTTTCACAGTTTGTACATAACATTTGGTTTTTCTTTTAACATATTGTTATTTGTAATTAAATACAACGACCACAATAAAATAGTTTGACTAATTCTTTGGTTTTTATTTTGGTAAAATTATCATTTACCTTTCTCTAATATTGAATTGGATAACAATGCTCTTTATATATATCTTATTTTCTTATTCTTTTCTTTGTTCTCAGGCAAACCTCCACAAGAATCACGCAGAGTACGTGCTCCAGCTTTTACTTTTGGTCAAAAGCTTGAACCTCCTGGTCTTATTTCTAAAGCAGGTCCCGGACCGGCTACCTACAACACGGAAGGAATGACGGCTAAAGGTACTTCACATTGAAACATCTATTAATAACAATAACAATATATTTACTAATACGGGAAATAATGATAAGAAAGTTTTTTGTAGCCCTTTTAAATTAAATATGGCGCACTTCATATTCGGTATACCTAGAAGAAGAGCAAAGAACAAAAAAATAAGCAAATATTGCAGTACATTTTAGAAGACTATACTTAAATTTTTAAGGAGGTATATGATGTATGCTGCGGAAGCAACGAAAATAGGGAACAACCCACTTATTAAACTTCGTTTTTTTTTCTATTGAATAGGACAATAATTTCTATCGGTTAGATATTTAAGTTAAAAATTAGTCCATAGTCTAAAATTCTCAATTTTTTTGTTACGTTAAATACATAGATGTATATTTATACATAGTAAAATAAAATGATTTAAGGTTTTGCACGCGGATATCACACATATGTGACATCGAACTCAGCGAAGCGGTGCGTTTACTCTGTACAAAGATAAGTCATTACTGCATCTTGAATATACGACTACAAGTCGACGCCTTGCTACTATTGCTAATATCTTCAACATGTAGGAGAAAGCTGTCGTTATAAATATCCAAATTTTCGTGGGGCTATAACCTCTCAAAATCACGTTCTTGTTTATTTTAGCTAAAACTTCTTGCCAAATCGTCTGCCTACAACGCTTAAAGCGTTAAAGAGACCGTTTTCAGAACTACTTTTGCTTAGAATATATCGGCACTTAAAGGAAAGGTTGGCTTTTTTGTTACAAATACAAATTTTAACTTGTAGACGTCATGACATATTGATTTTAACGTATTAGTCTCGCCCACTTGGCACATATCACGAAACTACTGGAGCACATCCTCATTGTCAATTGTATTTGTGTTGAGCAAGCTAATTTACTTGTTCTTGGCTCGTATAATACAACAGTGGGTAGACATTCCCAATTGTCGTTTACTGGATAATTGCTTGGGTTGCTGGAGTTAGGCAAAAACCGTTTGTCTTGCTATAAGTAAGTTTACAGTCTATTGTCCACGAATATAACGCAATATATATGTATAGTGTTTGTGATCGAGTTCAGAGTAAAATGTATTTTTTGTATGTATGCACGTATAACTTTAGATCATAAATAAAGTAGGTAATTCATTGGTATTTCTTGCCAATGTTTTTTGGGATTTTTGTTTTAAATAATTTATAATTCCTTATTAAAGAGAATATGTAATTAACTGTACATTTGACGAAAACCGAAAAAATTAACATAAATACATAATGTTTGAAGAGGATCGAGGTCGTATTTGTAATTCAGCTTTTTGGATTCAGTGAATAACTTTCGTACACTTTGCTTAAATTCTGGATTTTTGTTATAATATTGCTGATTATATTATGGATACAGAATGTACGAATAGTTCTCTTTTGTAAAGCAACTTATAAACTCATATGAATGCCTCATGTGACGATAGGTTTTTTTTCAGTGTCTAATTTTTCTATAAGTTTTACTACTATTACTGCTAATTTCTGTAAATTATGATTCACACAATTGACTCCGTGCCAAACATGACCACGAAAAATTAAAGAATATGAAATACGAAATTAAAAAATATTAAAACGATATATAAAATAAAATAATATTATTATTATATAAAATAGAAGTTATTAAAACAAAAACTCGGATGATACATAAGGATGAATTATCCAAGTTAGAATGTAGGAAGCATTCTTGTATTTTGGAAGTATTTATATAGCTTTGATACCAATTTCTGATCACTGCACTAGAAATTCAATGTGTACTGTGGGTTTAAAAAATTGGGGTAACTATTGTACATTAAACAGTTCATCGCCTAGGTGCTTATTTGTCGAATTTGTCCAAGAAACTAAACTTTTTTCAAAAAAAAAATGAGCTATATATTCAAACATCAACGGCTGTAGTCACTTTCTAACAGGTGACTCATTTGCTCGGTTCCCCCCTATTTCTTTATTACTATACTATACCTACTTAATTAGTAATTTTAAATCATACAAAATGACGGTTACAGCGTCAGGATTCCTAAATTGAAGGCCAGCCGGAGAGAGATTGAACACTTAAACTCTCCTTTAATGTGCAAGAGATAAAACAAACCGGACATTAAACAAAAAAGTACAAAATTAATTGTACGGCACAGTACAGGGGAAATAAAATATGAAAGAAAGATGACTGAACGGATAATGTGGTGGTTTAAGTGGTCGCCAGGCCGCTTTCTACTGTGCTGCTGGTTCGATCTCCACATGGGACAACACTTTGTGTGATCCACAAATTATTGTTCTGACATGATTATACTTGATATGTAATATACTCGTAGTATACTAAAGGTTGTATGAATTGCTGCATTGCGAGGCTAGACGTCAACACGCAATAGGAAGCGCCGAGGTGACCGCTTAAACCACTACGCCATACGTGCAGTCCGTATACGTATATATGTAGAACTGGTAGATTTAATAATTTTTGAAATTAGGTTATAATACTCTTTATATTGTGATTAACACTGCGACATATTATGAACCGTAAGTGGGTCAAGACTGCAGTCTGATTTACGTGAGCAATGCCGTCTGCAGTATTTAATATTATCGTGGTTATTAAAACAATTTGCAATACTTTCGTGACCTCTTTATTTATTTCTTTTACTATTTTAAATTGCATTCTATTGCTAAAACAAGTATATTGTTTTTCTCTTTTGAATTGCGGACCGCATAGTTGGATTATTATGCGTTATTGCCTTGATGCTATATTTGAGGCTCTAATAGTGCACATGATATTGCTTGCGAGTTCCGTTTACTTTTTAAGTAGGTACGTGATTGACATAAATGCTGACCTTAGCATTCTACTTTGAAGTATAGAATACATTTGTATATATGTATGTATGTACATATGGTATACATACAATTTATCGGCAGAAGGCGAAAGAACTATGTACATACATACACATGAGACTCGTATATAGGTAAGTTCTTAATTGGTTGATCACTATGGCATTGGATGTAACAGTAAGTTTCTCCAAGCATATGGCCGATGTCGCCAAATAAGTCCGTATTTGCGAAGGTGATCGGCACTGTGTGAGTCAGCGACTCGTCGTGTAGGTGCCCCGGACAGGCTCTGACAATCGTCTCGGTCGAACACAGCCTCAGTCGCGCATCCACTTCGATCCATTCCCCACTCTGCCGAATTACCTAGAGCTTGTTTTATACCAAGTAGTGTTTAGGCTATTTAGTGCTAGAGGAAATTTTAGTGTAGTGCAGTTTCTTACAGTTCTACGTGACTATTTGCGGTAAATATTACAATAAATTTATTTATTAGTCTTTACTTTTATATTGAAGCAATGTTTATGTTTTAAAGAGCAATAAAATTGGTAACTATGTTAAAAGAAATATGCATAACTATAAAAACCATTCGATATTATAAGGTAATCCTCGGTATTAAGCCATGGTTAAACCGAATATAAATAACAATAATACGGTCTTATAATCCAGTTCTATTATTTTCCTTTTAATAAAACAGCTGTTATAAAAAAAATTAAAACATTCAGGCATTCGTGATGCGTTCTTTCATGACTTCGTTTTTTATCCCGTAAGTTCGTGATGCTATTTTTTATCAACCTACAGCCTGGTGGTTACTTGTTTTAAGTTTATTTGTATTTTACAAATAAACAATTGTATTTACATATATACACATAGATATATCAGAAATATGTCAAATTAACAATAAAATTAATTATGGTTAGTAAAGCAGTTATAGAAATCGCTTCTATAACTGTTATAGAAACCACAGTTATTTTAAATGTCAGAAGTTAAGTTTTTATTTTTATGAACACCAAGGTAGTAACGACGACAAATATTTTTTATTTGGTTGCTCATTATAAAATAAACAAGTAGTTTGTCATCAGTTTACGATGTTACATCCAATTAAAATATAGTATGGTTTCCCAATTTAGATTAAAGAATATACGGCAACCTGATGTTGTTGAGACAATTCAAAACTTATCTCATATTCTAGTATGGTTGGTAATTGGCAATCATAGTTGCAATCAAAAATATTAAATTTCCCAATTACATATCTATAAAATTATATAAAAATGTTAAGTTGGTTTGTGTACGCTTTGAAATTTCAAAAGTTCTGCACTTATTGAGTTCAAATTTTGACACGGTAAACAAACCGCTCCAAAGATTGTTTTTCATCTTTTTTGCGACTTAGTTTTGTTTTGTTGTTGATGAGAAATGAGTCATCAATGCAATCACAATGTACTACAGCGTAGAGTGGTAGGGTACAGCTTGTTATACGTAGTTATAAATTGAAACATTATTATTTGATTGACGTTTTAGGAAAAGTGCTATATACAGGAATCACTCGCAGCAGGAGTATTTTGTTACAGATGATAAACACATGTCATAATATTTATTTCCCTTACGACACAATTTGATACTTGTATAAGTAGGTACTTATGTTACACTTCAATAGACAGGTAATGATTTATTGTACTCGTAGAGTGGTCACATGACCTTAATTTACGATTGTCTCATATGGCGCCACAAATAGGGCGTGCAGGGGCGCCGTCGGTGTCCTTGCACGGGCGCTGGCCACCGCCCCGGGTCGCGCCGACCCCTGCACCCTGCGACTACGAGCCCATCAAAGCAGTTCGAGTGGTTTACGACCATGCTCCAGCCTTTTCTATCGGCTTAAGAGTAAAACCACCAAAGCCCGGCGGAAAAACCCCAGGTCTTGTTAAGGCTCATACTATGTAGCATGTAGCTTTATGCTTAGTTAAAATTTATTTCGTTTCATATCAGTTTTGTTTTGTCGTTCACAGAGGCACTAGTTTCATTGCAATGTGCAGTTTTAAACTATTATTTCATACGCTTGTATCTTTTAGCTAAGCCTCTATTTTTAAGGTTATGCAGAAAGAGAGTTTGGAATGTCCATGTCTCGCCAGATTACTTCTCAACCCTAGTAAGCCATAAGGCTTCTATTATTTTATGTTTCTAATTAAGTATTTAAGGATAGCCTTAAATACTAGATAGGTTTTTTTATAATAAGCGCTTTAAATACATAAAACAGGAAAATCATTTGTTGCTCAATTTCTGCTAGTTTTTTAAACATATGTTTTGACTCGGCCTTTTAGTGTTTCTATTTTTTACACGCTTTATATTAGCTTCACTTGTATGTTTGTTTGTAACCGACATCTTTGGGCGTGGCTTTAAACGGTCAGAATAGGGTAGATGACTGTCAAGTCAATTGAGTAACTTTTTTTAAACGTCAAAACGCTAGACGCTTTACATTTTTGTATGAAATACTATTTCGTGACGTAATACCTAGCTATTGTCAAATCATTTATATTTAACGTTGATATCAAAATATCAAATCAATAAAGACATTAAATTGATAATGGAGGACAATTCAGGTTCTATTTTGAGATGTTACATTTAACGATGCAACCGAAATAATTTATTTTAAACCCAGGAATCTACCCTATTCGTGCACCCCACGAACAGTTTTTACTATTGACAACAGTAATTTTTACATTTAAATGTGTGGTGCTTTCTCTCTCCATGCGTGTCTGTGAAGTATCCGTATGTGTTCTTGTTAATATCTAAATAAATTATAGTAAATATTCAGAAAAGCTTAATTTGATTTTTCACTTTGTCCAGGGGCGATTTCTATATTTTATACACGTACGTTTTATACATACGGATATATTTCTTATACGTATACACGTACCTACATGTCTATAACATAAATTATAGAAAGTGGGTCGGGAACCCAACCATGAGTAAAAAGTTGCAAGTGAGTTGAGTGCCTTACCATGGCCACAGAAAACGTCGAACGTGTAACTACAGGAGAGAAGGCGTGGAAGAAAAAAAAAACTCTCCAAAGTACCTTACTCACCATACTACATTTAGCTGGTCAAATTTTTAATCTAATAATTTTGTGAATTTGTTTTTGTCTCTTATAATTGATCGTTCATAGAAGTTTCACCATCCATCATCAATCATATTTTGATTTGCGTAATCTCAGAATCTCGTACTGATAGCATAGTTGTTTCATCAAATATAAATCCTATGATGTACTCATATTGTATTAAATATTTTATTTCCTCTTTTATTTGTTTTGTAGTTACATAATTATATTAATGTAACGCTCTATTTAGGTAAGTACTACGACTTATAAGCCTAAGACGTTGTCCCACTTGCCTACATACTACATACTCATATAAATAATTCATGTAAACACATGACAGAACTTGTTGTAACTAGTGGATTATGTCGTTTCCAGCGCCAAACACATATTCTATGCCACCGGTTCTCGGCGAGGCCAAAGAGGGCGGTAAACGTGCAGCACCAGCCTTTAGTATCACTGGTCGTGGTAGAGCCGTGGAAGCTAAAGGTCCCTTGCCTGGTCCTGGTACCTATACAACAGATAAAGCTTCAACAGCTTTGAATAAAAGACCTCCTGCCTACACCATCGCACCAAGGCGAGAGCTCAGGCTTCCGTCTGCTGCCGTACCCGGGCCTGGGGTATACTGTCCCGAAAAGGTATAAAAATTATATTTACAAGTTGTTTATCAAATCAAAAATGATGTCATAAACAATAACTCATCATTATCCTTGAACGTTTTATATTTATGACTTATCATGTTCATTCTTCATACAATGACAATTTCATTGCGAAAAATAATGTTTGTTCATTAATGTGTTTGTGTGCTTGATATGAATAAATCGAAATGAATCAATGTGTTGAATGATGTCAGCGGTAAGGCGAATTATTGAACAGATTAAATGCTTCCTAAATCACTCCACCCGGATATCTGTGGCATTGCCGTATACGTTCGTACGAGGGTTGAATAACCGCGTAGGTGTGACTTGCAATAAACCTTTCATCATTGGGTTACGCCTTCTATTTATAAGAATGTAATTGGTTAATACCTTTAACAAGATTTTTCATTTGCACACGTTCCCTGCAGAAAATTTAGGGAAATCTGTTGTGCACTGTAAATGTATTTGACACATTTTAATTAACGAAGAATATTTTTATTATATTTGTACATTATTTATTGATAAGTTTTGAATTATGGTTTCTCCCATTTCTGTTATCAACGAGCAAAAATTTCTAGTTTTAACATACATGTTATAGGTTAGGATTATTACAGGACTACAGTACAAAGCTGTGAACGAAAACCATTATCATTGTCATTAAAGCAAATATAAATTTTAAGTCTATCCGAATATACTAAATAACCTACATTATCTCCATACCATTGACACCGTTTTAACCATTTATTTTTTGCATTTCTTCATTTTCGACTACGGGTGGATAACATAAGCCTAATATTTTAAAACTTTTATGTTCTTTTAACATGTATGGTGCCATAACATTTACTAACAAAAGTGGTGGATGCATGACAGGTGTGTGTGAACTTGCCGTGGGCGCCGGCGCACACATTCGGTATCCGGCACTCGCAATACTTGGGCAAGACAGTACACTACCCAACGCCAGAAGCAATCGCCGCCAACTAAACAATCATAATGTCTGTAACAAGATCGTCTATCAACAATTATATTATTCATCGCCATGCTTTTCAAGGCTAAGGTTTTTGTATTGTTTTAGGGCTTTTGTTTGTGATGTATATAAAATTTGCTAAAATACCTTCTAATAAAATCAGTTTAGTAATAAATATATTATGTATTATCATAAGCCTTCTTTCTTTGTTTTGCAAATTGCGACTTTTGGAGCTTCATTTAATATTATTACATTCACCCTCCCTACTAATCAACCATTTAAAGGTACTGATCCAATTATTTTTTACTGTTTAAAGTAGATGAGAGATGTAGATTTGATATTGTAAGATAGTTACATTGCTATTATAATAAATTATTTTATTGCTATTTAATAAGTAAAAATGTTTATAATTCCAGAAAATTACGAATATTCACAAGAGATCTACGAGAAACAGCTTTTCAAGAAAAATGAAACTAGAAAGTTCTGAACAAGTTCCTGCGCCTAATGCTTATTGTCCAGAAAAGGCAGACAGAATGCTTAGAGAAAAATCACCTGCATACTCATTTGGCACTAAAAGTACTATTACTAAAGTACAAAACGCACCCGCCCCTAATTTGTATTCACCTGAAAAGTCTATGAATTCGTTTAAAAGCGGCCCTAAATACACTTTAGCTGGTAAAGGTGTTGCTGAAAAACTTGAAGTAACGCCTGGTCCGAATTACTACAGCCCTCAAAAGGCAGATAAAATTTTACACGAAAGTTCCCCCGCTTACACGATGCGCTCAAAAGAATTTGTAGAAAAAATTGAGCAAACACCAGCTCCAAACATATATTCTCCAGAGAAATCAATGCATATGTTGAATGGTGGACCAAAGTATACTATGTCAGGAAAGAGTGCACATGTCAAGTCATCAGAAACACCAGCACCAAATGCCTACACGCCTGAGAAGGCTGATAAAGTTTTACACGAAAATTCACCAGCTTTTACATTTAGGATAAAAGAACAAGTGACAATAAGAAGCGAATCACCTGCGCCTAACATGTATGCGCCAGAAAAATCTATGCATATGTTAGATGGTGCTCCAAAATTCAGCATAGGTGGTAAAGGTCATCCCGATAAAATTGAAAGTACTCCGGCACCTAATGCTTACTGTCCAGATAAAGCTGATAAAATTTTACATGAATCATCACCAGCTTATACTTTCCGAGTTAAAGACCAAATTGCAAAACCCGATAATACACCTGCTCCAAATATATATTCACCAGAAAAATCAATCAACATGTTCCATAGTGCCCCAAAATTTAGCATTACTGGTAAAGGGCTTTCACAAAAAATAGAAGATGGTCCAGCACCAAATGCTTATAATTTAGATAAAGCTGATAGCATTCTTCATGAATCAGCGCCTGCATATACATTCAGGCCTAGAACTGCAACAGATAAACCAAGTTACACGCCAGCACCAAACGTATATCATCCGCATCTTAGTGATAGTGCTCCAAAATTTAGTTTGTACGGCAAAGGTCATGATGTTAAGACTTCAGATACACCTGGACCTAATGCTTACGAACCGCATTTATTAGACGGAACTCCTAAATTTACTATGGGAGGAAGACCTCCCTCCGACAAGCCATCTAATGTACCAGCTCCTAATGCGTATGATCCGCACTTACTTGACAATTCTTTAAAATTTACCTTAGGTGGTAAAGGAATTGACACGAAACCTTTTAATACTCCTGGACCCAATAGTTATGATCCTCACTTATCTAGTAATTCACCAAAGTACACTATTACCGGAAAAGGTCACGAAGCAAAATATTCTGATGTTCCTGCGCCAAATTCTTATGATCCTCATTTACCTGACGGAACTCCCAAATATACGATTGGTGGTAAAGGGTTATCGGATAAGCCGTCTGATACTCCTGGGCCAAACGTATATGATCCACAGTTGCCTCACAACGCTCCTAAATTTACAATATCGGGCAAAGGAAAAGATCCTAAAATTAATGATGTGCCTGCTCCCAATAAATATGATCCCCATCTCCCCAATGGAACTCCAAAATTTACGATTGCAGGGATTCGACATCCAGAAACAATTGAAAATACTCCCGCACCAAACTCTTATAGTCCAGAAAGAGCTAATAAATTATTATTTGAAAGTTCTCCAGCTTATACTTTTAGAACTAAGCATTTACATAACCAACCAAGTGACACGCCTAGTCCTAATTCATACGAACCAAGTAAATATGACTACATGTTAGAGGGTGCGCCTAAGTATACTTTTGGTACAAAAGGTCCCGCTGATAAGCTTCCTAACTACCCAGCTCCAAATGCTTACACTCCAGAAAAAGCTGATCATATCTTACATGGACATGCACCGTCTTATTCATTCCGCCCCAAAATAGAAAATGGTAAGGTTGTGAACACCCCTGGACCTAACGCTTACAGCCCAGAAAAAGCCTATAAAGTTTTAGATAAATCGCCTGCCTACACTATAGCTCCTAAAGGTAAAGATGACAAAGTATACGATACACCAGCGCCTAATTTTTACTGCCCTGAAAAAGCTGACAAGATTCTTTTAGACAGCGCACCTCGATATTCCTTCAGGATTAAGAACAATCCATACAAACCAGATATTGTACCTGCACCTAATAGCTACAATCCCGATAAAGCTGACAAAGTGCTGTTGCACAACGCTCCCCAGTATACGTTCCGAATTAAAACTAATGAAGTGAAGACCGTTGATACTCCTGGTAAGTGAAAATCGATATATATTTACATACTTTAGTGCATCTGTTGATTTATTGATATATTATTTAAATAAATGTATTTTAGCACCAAATTCATACAATATTCCAACGAAAGTCGAAACACCATTATATACAATTTCGGGTAGACATAAGGAACCCATAGATGAGCGCCTCAAGGTGCCTGCTCCAGGGACTTATGACCCTGAAAAGGGCTACAAATTTATTTTGACTTATTCTCCAGAACATACCTTTGGCATCAAAATACAAACAAATAAATTCGCTGATACCCCTGGTGAGTTTAGAAAGAGAGACGGTAAGGTTGAAAAACAAAATAACAAGCATGGTGGGCCACTAATAAAAATACATATAACTCAATATGAAAGGTATAAAATGAGATAACATTCTGAAATGCAAGAGGTCTAACAAATAATACCAAAATCCATAAAAATAAATTGGGGAGAACTTGAGAATAACCATTTGAGCGTACTAATTTACCTGTTGTTAATTTCAGCGCCGAATACATACCGAATTCCATCTGTACTGGACACTCCGGTGTACACGATGTCAGGACGTCATAAAGTACCGGTTGATGATCGCGTGCGAGTGCCTGCGCCTGGCACCTACTCCCCTGAAAAGGTAAATAATTGTATAGTACCCTCCTCTTAGATGAAATAGACCCATACTCAAACTCAACTCAAACTATCTTTATTTCATATTTTTTTTAATTATTTGAAATCGTCTCTTGCGTAGAATCTAAAGTCATAGATCAACACACACAATAGCAACAATCTCTGCAAACTAAATATATACGTATCAAATCATCTCTTAAATGCCTTAAATGCCGCCCATTTCCTCCTCATGAGAAGAACAAACTCACGACCACTCTCTTTTAAACAACAGATACATACAATGGCATCATTAAATATTTACAACATTATTTTGATATGTGCCCGTGTGTAAGTTTCAAGGACTAAAAGGTCAAAAGGCAAGGAAAAAAAAATCAAAAAAAATCATAGCCCACATCACATTTCCACTATGAAATAGCCTGTGCTAAATTAATCCCTCGCATTCTTGTCTTCTATGTAATCCACAATTGAGTTACACAGTTTACGTTTTATTGTGAATTTAAATTTGTTTATACTAAAAACTTGAATACTATTTGGGATTTTATTATAGAATCGGACACATTGACCTCGTAATGACTTGTTGCAGTAAGTAGCAGTAACTAATCTTGTCTAATATTAAGATATGGAAGAATTGAGTCTGACACGGGCACACAAGCAGGCTTAAAGACAGACTCCATGTACTGACTAGGTCCATCAAGACTTTTGTGACAGTAAATTGTTTAATTAATTTTTATTTATGTAGTCATAAACATTTTGTACCAGTCTACTTTAGGATAGTGCAGAAATTAGTAAATAGGCGGACCATCATTTAAAAAGCGCCACCTTTACCAGTTCTTTACATTTTCGTGAGTGATTGTCGAGGACTTGGCTTGAGGTGGATCACCGTGACGCTCAATTTCTTATAGGTCTGGTTATCTTAAGGAGCAAACTCCATTCATTTAAATAAGTTGAGTCATCATTGTATCAATGCCCAATACTTAGTCCTATACTAACTATTAACATTCTGCTCGTGATGTCCTCTGGAAATGTAGTCTATAGTACAATCATCGTAATATTATAATGTAATATCTTTGTGGTGACGGATTAAGAATACGGAATGTGACCAACCCTATTCATTCCGTGGGTGTCGTAAGAGCCGACTAAGGGAGCAAATTACGCAGGACAACAGCACTGCAAAGAGAAGGAAAAATTAAAACAAACCCTGAACCAACTCGTCTGGCCAGCGTCGTATAGTAGGCCAAAACTTCGTTTCTAAGGAGAGGCAGCAGTGGACTATTATAGGCTGTTGATGTGAATATAATAATGCTGACTTATATTCTTGAGTGATTCTTCAAAAGTTTCAGACAAATAAATGTTATTACTTTCTTTTAGAATACAAGTTGTGGTCGGCTTTAAGTCTGCTATGATACGGATGAAATTCGATTAAAAAAATCAAAGTTCATCTTACAACTTAATTTTACTTACTACAACTTAAAACCGACAACCGTTGGGGTAAACGAGTTCTAGAGGGAGGACCGGGTCTCGGTAAACGTAGTGTAGGACCAGGCCAGGTGGAGTAACAATTTGCGCAAGATGGCTAGCAGGAGCTCGATGCGAGAAGCCCAAAGCGGTGATGATGATAATGATGATGGGTTTTATCTATTTAACAACCTATGTAGCTATTTTGACGTGAGATGTACAGCGATTATATTATGACATAAAATGCTAAAAACATATTGTGACAAGCCTATCTTTATAATTTTTGTTGTTTTTTTTCAGGTGCAGATAACCAACACACCACAAATAACATTTGGTATCAAACACTCGCCGCTGTTGGGACAACTCAGACCATTAAGCACATCACGTCCAACAGAGAAAAAAGTAACCCAAACCACCGAAAGTAACAAAGAAACTACTAAATATATTCAAAGGACGGTTGTAGGCGAAAATGGTCACAACGAAGATACAACTCAAATTAATCGCCAAAATATTGAAGAGTCAAATAAATATGCCGATGTCAGTCGCGCGAATGTGACCTACACGAGACACAACAACAACGTTCGAAGTACAACAGTTTCCCCTGAACCAATTCATAACCAAGAAACATTGACACAGGAAATTGTGTGGGTTCCCGAGCAGCCAACAGTACGTCGCGGGTCTTATACCATTGACAAAACAGATGAGAATGCATACTCTGAACATTACAAAAATAATGACATTATTTCAGTTGAAAACGGAGTGAAAAAAACTGCAGAGCAAGGAGAAATTAGCGGTAGGTGCTCTGAGGAAAGGAGTACTAAATTCATAAGAAGAGATGGTTTTGAACAAAATATTGACAGGAATGTAAAAAACGCGACTGCTAATGAGAATAAAGAAACAGCTACCGAGGAAGTACGTAGTAATACAGATGTTCAAAAGTTAGAAAATGGTGGTTTTTCGAAAACGACGACAACGACTACTGTTAAGAAGTTTGGCAACAGTGCAGCTAAAACAGATAATGCTACTACTAGCGTCACTCGCACTGCAACTGTGGTAACCGCACGTGATATTGGCGTCAAATAATTCGAGAATATGAGAAACTAATTGGTTCCCTCAGCTTAAAATACTGATTTTACCAATACTAACTTATGTAGGTGAACCAACCAGCTATAACCAGCGCTTATAGTCTATTCAGTTGTAAGAGCTTTACTATTACTACGCTAATTAAAAAGCCGTGTTTATTAATTTATTTACAAAGTTACAGATTTTTATTGATTATTTTTATTAAGAGATGTGATCTGTTCTTAAATATTATATTAATTTACAATTTTATTCCATTGATATTTAATTTTAAGCGAAATGTTTTCGACAATTAACTTTAAGTACTAATATTGTTACCTGAATATAATATTAATAAAGTTTTTATTACGAACGCTTGTTTTATTAAAACCTCAATGACGTAGGAAATAAACTTAGAAACTCAGTACCTTATAAACAGGGTTTCCATTTCATCCATTCCTGATATTGTCGGCAAGGATTTTGTACAAGTACTCATGAAAAAAAATTAGACAATCAGCTACTTAATCGTTTTCTGTTTGTATAATAATCTTTTGTTAATCAAGATTCAATTTCTTGCATTATATTTTGGTCTGAAAAGGCAAAGGATTTGGTACAGTCATATAGGTAGATGTTTAGCTTTATATTTTCGTTTTTTATTCTAAGTTTTTTTAGTAACGACGTTTTGTAGTAACGTAGATTGGAAATTTCTTCTTCCGCCACCCCCAATACGGGTCGGGACTCGTCACTCGTTGCGACCGTTACTCTTTGGTCGCAGTCTTGTATGAAGCCCACATGGAACATTGAAATCGGTGGATATCTGTTCAGACGAAGAATTCTTCAAATCGTCGCCGCAGACCACTTCCTAAGGATATCAATTAATGCCCTCCGGTGTATGTTTTAATGATGTTACTTTTTTTCCCTTTTCAAATAAAAGTTAATAATGAAAATAAACTACAAGTAATAATATTATGTAAAATATAAAGGTAAACATTTATCTGGCATTACTAGAGTAAAGCAATATATAGGTATATAAATAAAACAATATAATTTAATATAAGAGGGACTGACATGCACGATGACTGATTTTTCAAGAACATACAGTTTACAAGAAAAGTCATATATTATTTTTTCAAATAAAATTTATTAGATTAATTTCATTGATACTGTGGATGTGATTCCTTTTCATGCGTTCAATAACGTACAAGGTAGAAATAAGATTTCATATTATAAAATCTGTTACAACCATTATACATAACCCTGCCTCTTAAACAAGGAAAACCAGTTTCCCAACTATTTACCTGATTCTCTTTATTCTTAAAAGCCATAGCTTGATTTTGACATTTTTTTTGAAAAGTGGGATAATTTTTTACTTTAAAAATGAATGATGCATCAGCTGCCTAAGGACTTGATTTTGACTTGAATAGATTTCGCTGGAGTAAGTTAAAGTTCAAAGATGATATTATCGATTGAGGCCACTACTGTAGCTTGTGCCCATCTAGTGGACCAGAAGATGCGATGAGGAAATAGTATGTCATCTTATGGCAAGCCTGCAGTCAAATATGATCATGCTACGAGCAACCTTGAAGATAAAAATTGGCATGAAAATTAAGTAAAAGCAGAATTAACTAAATTAAAAGCTTGTTTAATGGCTAAAAGTACCGAAGTCGATAATTATATTATTTGTTTTTCTATCGATCGTAGACTAGTAAACACACACAAACAGATGATAACGCAGATCACGATGTTAAACTGATGGCAAACAAACGGTTAGGAATAAAACAATATGATTACTGACTGACTGACATTGATTTATCTTAATATATGTTTAAAATGTAATGTAATTTATGTTTTAGGTTAACCTATTTTTAACTGGCTTAACTGTTAAGTTTGTTACGGCACTTTTCTCAGCAGGCCATTAACGTGGAAGTCTTGGTAGGAAAAAAGATGACAAATGTATGTACAAAAGAATTTCACTTGCAAAATAAATGCTGCAAGTCTTTGAATATCTGACATCGTGGTAAGATAAGTTATCACTAAAATATTTATACCTACGAACAATGTATTGTTTTGAAATATTTATTTATCGTACAAAAATATTTATTGTATTGTTGTTACTTTTTATCTGAGGCATGTTCTCATAATCAGAAGCGGATGTGTGGTCGTGTTCACTTGCAAACGGAAGCTCCACAAATGTACTCTGGATAAATGGACAGTGAACTATATTGTGCGCCTACGCATCAGTACATGATATCACTGTTCAATACTATTGTAACCAAATAAACTAGAAATCTCATAAAAACTACTGTATCTGAAGTGATAACAATATCTTGTCAAAGCTGTCACTACGGCTGATTTATTTTTTAGGACTATACTTTGATACTAAAAATGACAATATGAAACAATGTTATCGGTTCAATTTTATAAAAAGAAGACAGATGTTTATTTTCATTATTTTTCTTTCTTAAACAGCGTAGGAAGAATTTAAGTGATACAGGGCAGGTTGTAATTAGTGAGTTTAATTCTCGAACGTTTAATTTACTTAAGAGTACTAATACATATACGATAAAAACCGACTTTTAATTTGAACATAAGTATGAAAGTTTACCTAGATCGGGTTTGTTAGCTTTCTCAAGGCTATAGTAAATAAGAAGACAAATGTTTTATTGTAAGAAAGCGTGGGTGCTAGATGTCGATTGTTGTAAATATTTTATGGATAGATATCGGTTAAAGTAAAGTTATTCTAACAGATCATAAAATACACCCTACATAATAATATTTTATAAAATTTAATTTTTTCATAGTCATTCTATTTTTCTTTTTGAACTCATAGAAAATGATTTTTAACAGTTACAAAAGCGTGTTTTTTTTAGTTTTTAAAACTATTTTTGCTTTTTTTGGTTTGATGATAATGATGACTATTTCTGGTTAATGACTAAAAAAGTAACAAGTAATTAAATCACATAATGCTTCAGTACACGCCTTAGTAGGTGGCACAAGACACTGCCCTATTTTTAGAAATGGAAATGTCGTTAATCCTGAAGGTCAGGAATTACGAAAAAACTTATTAAATTATTGTATTATTATTTTTTATAACTGTTTATATTGTGTGGTGAATCCGTGTGGTGACGGATTAAGAATATGGAATGTCACCACCCCTATTCATCCCGTGGGTGTCGTAAGAGCCGACTAAGGGAGCAAACTACGCAGGACTACAGCACTGCAAAAAGTAGGAACACTTAAAACAAACCCTATACCAACCCGTCTGGCCAGCGTGGTATAGCAGGCCAAAGCCTCCGTTCTAGAGAGAGGCCTAAGTCCAGTTGTCAGGAAAGAACATCTTAAACCATCATATTATACAGTATTAAATAAAAGAGTGGCCTAACTAGCGAGATCCATGCTTCTATTTACCGCGTACCTATGCTACCGTAAGTATCTCAAGGAGTAATTTCTGTTTGAATCTAGTATCCTAGTAATAAATCAATATTCGGGGTTTTCTAAAGGATTCTTTGTATAAATTATTCGTATTTTCGTTTTTTTTTAAGTTTTTTATTCATATTTTATTTAACGGACACGGTCACATTAAATGTTCACATTGTGTTTAATGTGAACGCATTACCTCGTACTGTACTGATACCATCATCTGCCTACTTGTCATACTTGCCATGCCATTACGAGTAGGAGGCACTGGTTAAACGTTTTTAGCGATAGGGGGATTGGCGGCTCGAAGATATGACGAAGCTTCCCATAAGCTGCCCAACCTAGACGAATTCTTTTATCAGCCTACCGATCAAAGTTGTGCCGGCCGAGTTGAATAGTTTGGCTAAGATAGACGTATTCTTGCATAACCACAATGTAGCGCTATTTACGACCATGGGACTCAGGGACACATGCCTATTTTGCATGTTCTTGGTCTTACCAATATTCATCACAAGTCTCACTCGTCTTGAAGAATCGTCCAGACTGTTGAGCATTTCTTGTAGATCACGCAGAGATTCCGCCAAGATCACTGTGTCGTCTGTAAATCGCAAGTTTCAAATATATTGGCCATTGATATTGATTTACAATCAAGCGTTTTGAAGACGTCTTCCAATGCATTGGTAAACAGGTTCGGCGAAATAACGTTTCCTGGGCCTCAATTCTGCTATTTTATGTTCATGCCAAGCCACTGTCATACCACTGACACGCTGTTGAGATGCCATCGAGTGGCCATTGGCATCAGTATAAATATCGGTAGTTGAAAATATATTACGTTCTTGAGGAAATTATTTATTTTAATAAGTAAAATATTAAAATAAATAAATAAATAAATAAATTAGATCGATCGAAAGCTCGTCTGTGAGGTGGCGTGTCAGTCTAGCACGCGGGTCATCCACGCAAACTTTCGGGGGCGTCCCGGTGCCCCCGGTGGCTTCTGCGCCCGTAACCAAATGGTCCAACCCTGGATTCACCATATGCCTGCACTCTTGCTTTCGCATTGAAATCGCCCATGACAACCGTGAATGAACGAGACAGAGCCTAAACTATGTTTTTGGATGTGTAGTTGTGGAAGCAGCCCTAAGATATGCCAATTCATATGGCCAACCGAGGCTCTCTAGCCTTAGAGTGCGTCCCCCCTCCCCATTCGAACCCCCTGCTGCACCGTTACCGTGGCCGAGATCGTGGCCAGAAATAGTGCGACTATCGGGAACTGGGCGGTGTTGAGTTTAGTTGCGATCCATATGGGGAAAATTGCCATAGTCACCGCGCTTTACAGGCGGGTTGGTGACCGCAGGGGCAAGAATCATTTATCTGGTGATATTTAGCGATTCCCCCAGTGGTGTGGTTATACCGCCACGAGTCGGTCGTTCTCCTAAGGTCACTGTACTGATAAGGTGCTTAAAAAATAACAGGAAAATAATAAAACGAATTACAATCTAAAACCGCATCCGTCGTTCGCCAATTATAAAAACAAAAATAAGAACACTATGTTGTAGTTCATTCACAGTCTCTTAGAAATTAATTGATTAAAATATCTGAAGTTCGTG